TTTTTTGGTTTTTCAAGACAGGGTTTCACTGTGTAGCCCTGGCTGTCCTGGAACTCACTATGTAGACCAGGCTGGCCTTGAACTTGGAGATCCACCTGCTTTTGTTTCCCAAGTGCTGGGACTAAAGGCATGTGCCACCACAGTCTGACTAGGAGGAAGAGGAGGAGCAGGAGGAAGGAAGAAGAAAGAAGAAAGAAGAAAGAAGAAGGAGAAGAAAGCAAGGTTGGACCAGCAAATTGGCTCAGTAGTAAAACAAGAAAAAGCATAAAAAACAGCTTTCCCTGAAGACCCAAGTTCCACAGTGGAAGGAGAAAAAAGCCCAACATTATCCTCTGGCTATTGGCACGTGAACACCAACCCTCCTTTTGCACAAACACACACAAAATAAAAAATTTTTTTGGTTTGGGTTTTTTTGTTTGTTTGTTTGTTTTCTCAAACGGGGTTTCTCTAAGTAACAGTCCTAGCTGTCTTGGAACTCACTCTGTAGACCTGGCTGGCCTAGAACTCACAGATATCATCAGCCTGCCTCTGCCTCCAGAGCGCTGAGGTTAAAAGTGTGCACCACCACCAACACACACACACACACACACACACACACACACACACACACACACACACATATATATTTTTTAAAGAAGCTTTCTAGTCGGGGGCTGGAGAGATGGCTCAGAGGTTAAGAGCACTGACTGCTCTTCCAGAGGTCCTGAGTTCAATTCCCAGCAACCACATGGTGGCTCACAACCATCCATGATGAGACATAGGGCCCCCTTCTGGTGTTCAGACATGCATGGAAGTAGAATGTTGTATACATAATAAATAAAATCTTTAAAAAAAAAAAAAGAAGCTTTCTAGTCTTGTATACTTTGAAATGCAAGTATCCCTATGCTGATGTGATCAAATTAACTATCTGAATAAATACAAACAAACAAAAAATCCAAGATATTTTCCCTTCTCATTCTGGGGAGTGAATCCAGGGTCTTGTAAAGACTAAGTATATGCTCTACCACTTAGTGATACTCTCAGCACAAATCAAGATTTGCAATAATTAATTAAGGAACATTTCTGGCTAGACAGTGGTGATGCATGCCTTTAATCCCAGCACTAAGAAGCAGAGGCAGGCCGATGGATCTCTGTGAGTTCCAGGACAGCCTGATCTGAGGGAGGGAGGGAGGGAGGGAGAAAGAAACATTTTTGTAGATACAGAATGGTTTATATGCTTGATGATAAGACAGACAAAAACAAAATTCAGTTGGAGGATTCTCTCTATGCCCTATGAAGCCACACAGGTAGAAGACAGCAAGAATAGGGAGATGATATCTAAACAATATAGAATTTACCTAGAGTTAATTTCTTTTACTTTTAATTTTTGTAATAATTATTTTGTGCATGAGCATTTTGCTCTCACGTATGTATGTACACCACAGGTGAGCCTGATGCCTAAGGAGGTCAGAAAAGGGCATCAGACCCCTGACACTAGAGTTCCTGGTGGTTGTGAGCAGACATGTGGGTGCTGGGAACTGAACTCAGATCCTTTGCAAGATCTGTGATTGCTCTTCATCACTGAGCCATCTCTCCACCCCCTACTGTTAATTTCTAGCATTAATTCTTAGAACTTCTGAGTTTGATAATAAGTTTCTAGAAAGTCTGACGTAGAAATCAAGGAGCCCAAAGTAAAGCAACAGTTCCATCTCATTTGAAGTCCCATCTTCAGCTCCACTTCACTCACTACAGCTGTGTTAGCCAGTAAAAGACAGAGCCCACAACGCCTTAAACCCTCAACTAACTATGAAAAGCAATGAACATTTCAGTAGAAAGAACTGAGTCCTGCAGATACTCAGAATTATAAATGACATCAGAACTAAAAAAAAAATTTCTGTGGTTCAGAACTGTTTCTAGACACTAAAGAAGGAAAGCCGGTCTTTTGGCCATGTTTTAAAGGCATTTAAAAATGGGACACAGGGCAGGACAGCAATGGTGGCACAAGCCTTTTATCCTAGCACTCAGGAGGCAGAGGCAGGCAGAGCCAACCTCGTCTACAGATCGAGCTTCAGGACAACCTGTTCAGTTAGCATACAGTGAGGCTCTATGAGGGTGTAATAAGACCTAGGCTACAAATTGGATGATGAAATAATGAATCAGGGTGAAAGTATATAGCTCAATGGTAAAGCACTTGTCTAGCATGTGGAAGGTCTTGGGGTCTATCCCCAGCATCACAGGCACAAAAATAGGCATGAAAGTGTATTACTTTTTTTAAAGATTTTATTTATTTATTATATATACA